TCTGGAATAAACAACACTTAAAACACACATCAAGTTAGATTATCTACTTGTATTGAACCATTATTACCAAAGTCATGTTGTTTTTTAAATAAGCACATGTGTGGCAATGTAAAACAAAATACACTCTTATTAAAACATAACAATAAACTTTGTTTTAATGGCTACAGAAAGAGGTGACATTGTTTTTGTCCAATACAACTGGTTCTAGCAGCAAGCTGCATTATTCGATTAAAGTAATATATGCCTCCAAACTTTTGCACAGTTTGTGTGTGTCACTTGAATTAGAGCATAGACATAGGGGAAAATATCTGCAAATATGCTTCTCAAAACGCATTCCTCCAGAATGTCACAGTTTAATGAACTTGAGAAATCTTACTAGTTAGGGTATCCACCGTAATTCTTCTCCAGTGGCAACAGGCAATCTTTTTTTTTTTTTTTTTTGTGGAGGCCTGAGAGTATTCAATACACTTTTACTATAAGACCCCTTTTTCCACAGATTGCATGATCATTATCCTTTCTGCTGCCTTGCCTTTGATATGGTTTGTGTGTTCTTATATTTTATAATATTGAATCACAAGGTCATTTTCCGCAAGATATTCTTAGGAGTACGTGGTTATGGAAATAACCACTTAGAGTGAATTCATATTTGCTTCTAAGGGGCTATGGGTTGGAAAAAAATATATAGCAACTTGTTTTAATAACCATTTTTTAAATTAATTTCTCACCCTTTACAGGTATGATGAAACATACCTGTCTTACATACTTTGGACATGTTGTTAGAAAAGGGGCCAGTCCTTAGAAAAAGACATCATGCTGAGAATAGTAGAAGGTTAGAAAAAGAGAGGAAGAACCCTCAAGAAGAGGCATTGACCTACTAACATTGACAATGGGTTTAAGACAAGGTTTAGATCTATTGTTCATAAAATTGCTATGAGTTTTAGTTGATTTGAAGGTATGTGGTGGCTTTGTGGTGAGGAATTGTGCTGTCAACCCACATCCACCAGCTGCCCTGTAGGAGAAAGATGAGCAGTCTCTTCTTTGTGATTTACTGCCTCTGAAAACCCACATGATGGTCAGCTATGGGTTGACTCAGACTCCACAGTAAATAACAACAACAAAGCCCCAAATAGAAATTCAAACACCATTCTTTTTTAAAAAATTTTATTTTATTAATTTTAAT